TACCAACGTGTGGGAGAGACGGCTGGACATGCCAGGAGCCACAGTCCAGCCTGTGGGAATGGCTTATAGCATTGTGCTGAATTGTGTCTGGAATGAGCTCTCAAGGCTGTGCTTTCTAATCACAGTTCCACTTGCCTGCCAAGTGTGTCCTGGACACTGTGTCTTCATTTGCCTAGTTGAGCCTTTTCCACTTCCTGTTTCAACTAATCCTCTCCTCTTCTCAAGGCCACTGTTCCATCTACACAAGGTCTCAGCTCCCATGCTCCACAGGGCTGCAGCCAGGAGTAGCACAGAGGGACAGGCAAGAGCTTCAGCGCTGGCAGCCTTGGTCTGAGTGCTGGCCTCTTATTAATCCAGCTGAGCCTTGGGTCCTGAACCATAAAAAGAGGACCCACAGAATTCTCAGAAGAGCACCTGAAATAGGTCCAAGATAGCACCCAAGCATAGCATAGTAGTTTTCTTTGTCTGGACCATTTTCAAGGAAAGAATGGTTTTAGTCTGTGTAGAATGACATGTTGTACTGATTTACAGAACTAAATCCACAATGAAATGTAGAGTGGAAATCATAAATTCAGTGCGCCTTCCCTGCTGGAAGGGATTGGATACATTGTGGCATTGATTTGATTATTTGAACCTGATGAATAGCTGCAATTTTCTGGCCTGTAAGTGGGTATAGAGCAGCTTCATTATTGATGGGCCTTGTGTCCACAGAAGACACCTCCACAGCCCTAGGAGCCTCCTGGAAGCTGAGGTTTTCTTTCTTTTACTCTCCATAGCATTATGGATGAGGAAACTTGAAACTGGCTTCAGAGAAAGGCAGTGTTCCCAGATTTAAAGGTGAGGCTATGGAGTGTGTAGTCGCCATCTGCCTGGCTTGTCCCAGCGACACACATCTGAAGAGAAATTAAAGTCAACCATTCACCTTCCTGCGAGCTAGAGTTGGGGCTGCAGGTTCTGTGTGACTGGGACCCAAGGGCCCAAATTGTGTTTAAATGCTGCCTTTGCCTCCCTGCAGCCTGCGGGAGGGTGGCTGTGCTGCATGTGCCTTACCTGTAATGTGGTTCACAGTGGCTGACTTACTGCTGTGGTAAAGAAGCTCAGTGACCTGACAGATGTGAAAAGTGCTGTCATGAAACACATTCTCCATGGGTACATGCCCTTCTTCATTGCCCCAAGGTGCCTGGTGTGGGACCTACATGTACTGGGTGCAGATAGGTAAGTGGCAAATGCTAGCACCTACACAGCAGATGAAAGGCAATGGTATGTGGGTGCTCCTGGCTGCCAGGTACCCCAGAGAGACAGAAGAGCTGGTTAGAGACAAGGGTGAGGCTGGAGTGGAATGGGCCTGCAAACCATGCTGAGTCTCTTGGAATTTATCTCATACAAAGAGAGGCCAACAACATTTGAAAAGCAAAAAACAGATTATTTTAGGAAAACATTCTAAAAGCACTGTGGAGAATGATGAAAATGGAGAAGGCAAGGTACGGGCAGGAAAGTCCATAGGTGGTTGATACAGAGAGAAGTGGGCAGGAGATCATGGGGTCTGAATTACAGCAGTGGAGTGTGTCCAGAGGGGACCCACATAGTGTAGACCTCCTTGGGAAGTAGAGTGGACAGTGAGTGGAGTCACAAAGGCATGGTGAGAATTTGGAAATTTGGAACTGCCCTTGGATAACTAAATGGTTTCTAGCTTGGGTTACTGGATGGGTGACAGTGCCAGGAACTGAGATGGGGAAGTGAGGAGGAGGTCTGGGGTGAGGAGGAGACAGATAATGCATTCAGATGACTCTGACTGTAATATGTACACACACCCACAGAGAGCTGCTTTCAGCTTTGAGAAATACAGCATGACTTAGGAGCACCAACCTACTCTCCTGACTCCTGTAGGAACATTAGTCACAAACAACGGGGCTCTGAGTGACCCTTCAACAGTTAGAATCTAGAACAGACCCTTCTTGTCATTCCAGAGTCACTTGTAGCTCCAGCAGGGGCTGCTGAAGAGAGAAAATGTCATATTTAACTCATTTTCAAGGTATTCATAGCCCCCAAGATGCCTAGGAAACCCTGAGGTCTCCAGGCTGTACTATATAACCAGTAAGAGATCAGGTTCAAATACTGACTCTGCTACTCACCAGCTGAGACCTTTGGTAAGCACATGACCTCTCTGAGTATCTGTCTCTTTGTTTATAAAATGGGGCTCATTATGGCACTTTATGAGACTAAAATATGTCCAGACTATGTAACACAGGGCCTGGAATAGTGTAAATAATTATAGTACCAGCCACTATTGCGGCTGCTGTGTTATTGTTATTGGTAGTGATGCCTAGCCATACTGTAGAGTTTTTGTACTAGACTTTAACACTGTGTTTATTCCCTGTATCCATAGAAAAACTGAGGCCTACTCTTTTTTTCTTTTTGGCAGTAGTGGGGATTAAACCTGGAACCTTCACCTTGAGTTCCATCTCCCCCCCTTTTTTTCTTTCTTTGAGACAAGGTCTCACTAAGTTGCCCAGGCTGGGATCAAACTTGTGATCCTCCTCCGTTGGCCTCCGGAGAGTTCTGAGATTACAGACTGGTTGAAGCCAACTCTTAAGTGTTGCCTTTTCAAACTAATAAACAAGAACAAAATCCCCATACTTATGGGAGACCTTGCCTGTGAAGCATCCCAAAGAGATCACAGGCAAACAGGGGAGACTGACATGGAAACATATCACTATGGTAAAGTAGCAGTGGGATTATAAGGTGCCTAGTTGCCTAGGGGTAGGGGTGAAGGAGGGTACCACCAGCTAGAGTTGGAACAGCAGAGAAGGAAGGCTAGACAGTTGGAATGTGTTCTTGGGCAGGGCCAAACCACAGGGCAGGATTTGCTAGGTGGTCAAGGAAAGAAGGGTGTGGCTATTGATGGAGGTTGTCAGGGAAAGCCCTGGCCTGACCAGTTGAGGGTGGAGAAGAGCCCAGATGAGCCAGAAGAGGTGGCCTCCTTCATGCCATCCCGACAGAGAACCACTGCAAGGTTCAAGTGAGGAGAGCAGTGATCTGAGAGATGCCAGAAGGGATGAGATGCCAGAGAGGATCTGTAGAGTGAAGAGGCCTTGGGGTCAGCAACTGAGTGTCACCATCTCTGAATTCTGACCTGTGCCCCACTGAACCTGGAGAAGGCACCCAGCTTTGAACTCAGATAGAGGGGCTCTGTCCAGGAGGTCTTAGCAAATTGCCTAGGCATAAACCACTCATCTGCCCAAGGTGCTCCAATGACTGCACAGGTACTGTATTGCATGGTTACCAGTCCCTAAGGCCCTCAAGTGCTTTGGGTCCTGTTGGGTTTGCCACAAACCTGAGCATTCCCCATGGATTCTGCACCTGTCAGTGTATGTGCAGGTGACAGACTGGCTCCTCTGAGGTTGGATTTTGTTTGTTTTTCTAATGGAGTAATCTTTTTTATTTTTTGGCCAAGTTATATAAACAGTTATCAGCATAGGGAGTACCTTGGACATCACTTTGACTTTTAATGGGAGGAAGCCCAGCAGGCCAGGGTAGTGCAGACCTGCAGTCTGAGACCTGGGCAGGGGAGTGGCAGCACTCCTGTTATGGGGGAAGACCAGGCCCTGGGTACCCGAGACCTCTCACCAGGGCCTTCACATCTGGTATCTTGCCTGGCTAGAGATGATGGTGGCCACTAAGAGGGAGTCCATAAGGCTCTGGATTGGACCTTTGGCAGGGACTGCCTCCTACCCCACCCTAGCTGTGGTCTCTGTTTTGGTAGGGCAGAGGCTAGGCCCTAGGATGGGCACTGGGGGTAGCAGGTGATGAGTAGAGAAGTCAGAGAGTTAATCTAGGAAGCTGGGGGTTGGCAGATTAAACATGGAATATTTCTGTCTTCCAGAAGAAGTATGTATGCCCCCTCACAGAAGCCTGCTTTTTATTCTCCTTAAATAAAGATTGGGGTACTACAAAGCATTTCTCTATCACATGCTGGGGCAGCAGAGTGGTGAAGGTCATGGGGTGATTTGCACCCAAATAAAGAGGTGGATTTGTAACTCATTGCTGCAGCAAGGGAGTGGAAGGCCAGTGGCATTGGCTGTGCAAAGTCTTCCAGAAAAGCTGGGAATCCATATTTTATGTAAGTTCTCCCAATTAGTTTGACTTTAAAAACAGAAACAAAACATTGCTGGCCAAGAGAAACTTGCCTGTGGGCCAGCCTAGGCCTGTGAGCAGCAGTAGTGTTCCCTGGGCAGCCTGGCCTCCCTGATGTCCTTTCTGACCTTATCACCCAGTGGAGGAGAGCCCACTAGAAAGGAGTGGCCTGAGTCTGCTCCATATTCTTCTCTCGCATGAGCCTCAGTGGCCTGGGGCAGGTCCAGGCCTTCCTGGAGTATACCTTCTTTACAATGAAGGCCAAAGCCAGATCTGTCATTTTGAACCTTTTTTTCTTTTCAACAGCAGAACCTTTGTTTCAGCCAAATCTTACAAGAAACAAATCACAGTGTATGAAGTAGATAAAACAGAGCTGCCCTAGTTGTGGGGGAGTTTGGAGCTGCCTCTGCCCTCCCCCAGGACTGTACAGAACACAGTGTAGTGACTGCACACCTGCTGGCTGTTCTCTCCACCTCCTAGTCTCAGCATTTTGTGGTGTGACTTGGAGGAGAACCACAGCCAGGAGAGAAGGCAGCCCCTCGCCCACATTCTGCCCAGTCCCTCACACGGGGTTCGGAGCTGGCCACCAGTTATAGCTTCTACTTCCTGGTGCTTTCTGTGCATTTTTGCCATCTCACATCAGCCCACCAATGTGTGCATTCCTGTTTCCATTTCACAGGTGAATGAACCCAGACACAGAAAGGGGAAGTGAGCTGCCCACAAGGTCACTAGGCTGGAAAGTGAAAGAGCTCAGACCCTGTGTCCCAGTGAGCAGGTTTACCATCTCTGGTGTTTTCAGGGCATGCAAAGCCCCTTCAGTAAGGCTTGATTGCTCTAAGCAGGACTCTCCTTTTACCCCCATGCAGGAGACAGAACCATCCGAACCCAGAAGTGCGGAAGTAACAAGGAAGACCAAGGCTACTGTTCCTTCTGCCAACAAGAGGCCCAAGAAGGAGACCAAGAAGAAGCGGTAGAAGTGGAGGCCTGAGGAGCCAGGCGGGCCTGGGAATCAACATCCTGTTTCCTGTCCGTCCCAGGCTCAGTGTCTAGATGCTGTGATGCCATCTGACCAGAGATCTGGACAGTCATGACAGTCCCCAGGCTTCAGCTGGACAGACACCACTTCCTCCTCCTCCTGCTTCCATGGTGGTTTCCAGTCCAGGGACTGAAATCCCTTGTGAGCAGACACTGCCCTGGGGGGTTGTTCAGAAGCCAGGTCAGCTCACAGTTACTTACTCACTGTGGCTAGGCAATAGGCACCCACCTTGTGGATTCACACTACACTTTGGAATCACTGTCTAATGCTGATAAGCACTTCCTCTCCCATTGCTTCATTTCTGCTGTGTGGATGGAGCCAGACCTCACTTGTGTTAGGGCAAGATGATATGGCTATGCAATGGTAGTGGTCCCCCTGGCTGCACCAACCAGGCCTAAAAAATGCTCACTGGAAGAGCCAGCAGAAGGCCTGGGCCAGGGTCATACCTGAGTTTCCTCTATCAGGTGGAAGGGGTTTGGCTGAATGAGTACATATTCTCGGGCACAAACTTTCTGAGCCTCTGAAATAGTAGGCTTAGCAACTTCAGACCAACCTCTTCAACCCATTGTGACATCCAAGGTGTTATGCCTTTGACTTTTACCTGCACACCATCCTCCTCCTCTCAGTTTTTTCATTCTCTGACCAGTGAAGAAAAGTTATTTGGAAAAGTAAAGGTCAATAAAGTTGCATGCTCAACCTGCTTGTGTGTTGTCTGCTTTTGAGGGAAAGGAGAAACTTGGGTCACTACCCTGAGAGTGAAGGAAATGCTGCCCCCCCACCCCGAAGTGGCACAGTGCAGGCAAGGATGGGCAGAATCGGAGGTAACTGGTCAGAGTAGTCCTACAAGCCCAGCCATTCTGGAGCCAGTTTTCAGGAAGAGTGTGACCTTAGTCATTGGAAACACTTGTGGATGTCTGCGGGTGTTTTAGAGTTTCCACTGGGTTGAGGCCCTCTCCCTTGGTTCCATTTGTCTGTGGAAGATGCTGCTCCTCCTCAGAGGCTTGAGAAAGACGAAGTGCACTACAGTAGGAGGCCCCACATGGCTTCAGGTGGGTCTGGTTGCATGACCTGGCTCAGGTGCCCAGGAAAAACCCTGACCTCTGGCAAATCAGAATCGGCAGCTCTTTACAATCTGACAAACACTTTACCAAATCTTTCATCTCCATTTTAGAGGTGGGAATCCAAAGTTCAAGCTTACTTGAGAGTGCCAGAGTCAGCAGGTACAGTGTGGTGAGGGTCCCTGCCAAGGTGGAAGGGAGCTTGGTGAGATCTGCCAGTGCTTTAGGTTTCAGAGGAGGAAGTCCAGGATCTGGAGTTCTGCCTAACACAGGGCCAATCTTGGTCAGATGCAAGCATGAGAAAGGGCTTTTCCTGAGTATTTCTGTTGTACAAATACCTCTTAGATGCCAAGCACCATGCTAGGCCACAGAAACAAGGAACCTTGCCAGAAACCTATAGTCCACTTGGCTTAGAGACTCAGACAAGAACAGGTTCTGTGTGGGTAGTATAAGTAATGTGGAAGCTGGGCACAGGGGCACTATCCCAGACATGGGGGACCAGCCTGGCTGCCTGGTGGAATGGAAGTGACAAGCTGAGGCTTACTCAGCAGGTGTCAGACCAGAGGGAAATTATGCTGGGACAGTGGGGCCAGGGCTCTAGAGCAGAACATTCCAGATTGTGGGGAGAGACATCTAGCTCCCAAGAACAGCGCTTACCTCGGCAGAGGGTCCAACTCCTTTACATTGTCTCCCTTACAGACTGCCAGAGACCAGCCCTCAGAAAGCAAGGGCAGTCGCCCTCTCTCCACCCACGCTCTTTTCACACTTCCTGTGGGCACAGTTTGTAGCATTTGCTTCTCAGCTTCTGAGACCTCATCTGTTCCCAGGTGTCCTCATCCCAGGTTCCTCTTCATCAGAGGTGCCCAGGCCTCAGTCTTTGTTATCTTTGTTATTAGAAAGCCCAGTCCCTGTAGACTTCCTCCTGACACATTAGGAGATCTCATCCAGGCCATGGATTTAAATGACACCTGAATTAGAGTTTTCCGGAAAAACAGAACCAATAGGAGAGCTCTATTACAAGGAAATTGGCTCAGGTGATTACAAAGGCTGAGAAGTCCCGTGATCCATCTGCAGGCTGGAAACCCAGGAAGGCTGGGGGTGAGGCCAATTGTATAGATTCCAGTCTAAGTCTGAAGCCCTGAGAACCAGGGGTGCTGAGAGCAGAAGATGGATGTCCCAGCTTATGCAGCCAGGCAAAGGAAGGGCAAACCCAGTCTTCCTCTGCCATTTTGTTTTATCCAGTTCACTGAATGAGTCTCACCCTGAGACTGGTGTCTCACAGACACCATGAAATACTGTTTAATCAGATATCTGCTCATCTCGTGCCAAGTCAAGATAATCTATTAATCATCACACCACCCATATGCCAATCAGGCCTTTCTAAACAGATCTCTGGAGACCTCCCTCTTAAACTCCAGACTTGTATCTGACTTCCTACTCAGTATCTCCATTTGGATACCCAATAGACATCTCAAAGCAAATTTCTGACTTCATCAGCAGCTCAAATCTGGCCTTCTTTGGTCTTCTTTTAGGAAAAAACCCTATATATTTCGTATATATGTCAAATATATACATACATATATGTAATCACAAGCTAAAATAACACCTCACATAGTTACCTTTGTGTCGTGTGTTTGTGTGTGTGTGTTGAGAACTAAGGGTCTACCTTAGTAAATTCCAAGTATATAATATGGTTTTCTTACCTAGTCGACATACCATACATTAGATCTCCAGAATTTATCTTGCATAACCGAAACTTACTACTCTTGACCTACATGTTTCACCATTCTACTCTGATGTTACGAGTTTGACTAGTTTAGAATTCACATGTAAGTGAGATTATGCAGTATTTCTCTTTCTGTGTCTGGCTTATTTTATGTAGCATAATGTTCTCCAGCTCTATTTATGTTATCACAAATGGCAGAATTTCCTTTGTCTTTTTTTAAAAAGATGAGTCATGTTCATTATTTTTGTATACCATGTTTTCTTTATCCATTCATTAGTTGATGAAACAACATTTAGGTTGTTGCCATAGCTTATCTATTGTAAATAATAAGGCAGTGAACATAGGAGTGTAAATATCTCTTTGGGCTGGGGATATGGCTCAGTGGTAAAGCACCAGCCCAGTAAGTGTGAAATCCTGAGATTTAGCCTCAATACCAAAAGAAAACAAAAACAAAAACAAATACAAAATAAAGAAAACAAAGCTGACTTCACTTTCTTTGCATAAGGTAGGGTCATATAGTCTTTTGATGTTTAACTTTTTGAGGAGCCACCACAGTTTTTCATAATGGCCGAACCAACTTACATTCCCACCATAGTGCCAGGGTTCTAATTTCTCCACATCCCCACCAACACTTATCTTTTGTTTCTTCAATAATAGCTATTCCGACGGGTATGTGAAGCTCCTGGCTTTGAGTTACATTTCCCTGATGATTAATGATGTTAAGAAACTTTTTATGTAGAATATTTATTGGGCATTTGTATGTCTTTTTTGGAAAGTATCTGTACAAATCCAATTAGGTTAATTGGCTTTTATGCATTATATGAGTTCCTTATTTACTTTAGATATTAACCTCTTGTGAGATACATGATTTGCAAATATTGTCTTCCACTATGTAGACTGCCTTGTCATTCTGTTGATTGTTTCCTTTGTTGTGCAGAGTGCAGAAGCTTTTTTTTTTCTTTTTTTTTTGAGACGTTGTCTCCCTATGTAGCCCAGGCTGGCCTCCAACTCCTAGTGATCCTCCTGCCTCAGCCTCCCAAGTGCTGGGATTACTGTTGTTCATTTTGTATCTTTTTGTTTGTGCTTCTTGTGTCATATCCAAAAAATTGGTGCCTAGGCCAATGTCAAGAAATTTTTTTGCTGTTTCTTTCTGGAGCTTTACATTTTCAGATCTTATGTTTAAGTCTTGAATCCACTTTGAGATGATCTTTGTGTATAATGTAAGATAAGGATCCAGTTTCATTTTTTAAAAAATTTTAAAATAACTTTATTATCAAACACACACACATACAAAAAATTAAAACCATTCAAAGAAGAGCAATGCAAGGGGAAAAAAACTACAATAATATTCAAATACAGTAGAACTCAACCAAAACAAAACTGAAAAGCACTTAAACATTTTTCCATATACCTTAAAAAAGCATCTTAAGCACCAACAAGACACCAGAGGATGTGATTTATTTCAGAACACTTTCATTCTTTTGCACGTGGGTATCCTGTGTCCTTATTTATTGAAGAGACTGTCATTTCCTCATGTGTATTCTTGGTACCCTCATTAAACATTAGTTGATCACATAAGCGTGAGTTTATTTCTAGGGTCACTATCTTTTCCCTTGGTCTATGTGTTTGCTTTTATGCCAGTAGCATTCTGTTTTGATTACTACTGGTTTATAATATAATTTGAAATTAGATAATATAATCCTACCAGGTTTGTTCTTTCTCAAGATTTCTCTTGGTCTTTTGTGGCTCCAAATGAATTTTAAAAAGGTTTTTAAAATTTCTTTCTTTTTTTTTTTTTTTGGTACCAGGGATCGAACTCAGGTCCTTGCACTTGCGCAATAGGCGGCAAAACCACTGAGCTAAATCCCTGGCCCTGTTTTTTAAAATTTCAATGAAAAATGTTCATCTCACCACATCTCTCCAGCCAGCTTCATGGCTCCTGGACACTTCAGCAGTCTCCTCCTGGGTAGTCTGTTCTTGACACAACAAGCCAGAGGGATCCTGCTAAAACTAGTGAGAGCTCCAGGTAGGGCGGTGCACACCTGTAATCCTAGCACTCAGGAGGCTGAGTCAGGAGGATCATAAACTCAAGGCCAGCCTGGGCTACATAGAAAGGCCCTATCTCAAAAAAAAAAAAAAAAAAAATGAACAACTGTAAGATCATGTCCCTCAGTAGGTAGAGACCAAAGTTTTCACTGGACCCACGAAGGCCTGCAAGAGCTACTCCACCTCCTTTGACCTTGTCTCCCCCATTTCCCCTTGCCCATCTACTCCATTCTCACTGACCTCCATCTTCCTCCAACATGCCAGGCAACCTGTCTCAGGCCCTTTGAACCTACCATTCCTACTTCCTTTATTTATTTTTATCTATCTATATGGGTTTTTTTTGGTTTTTTTGTTTGTTTTTTTGAGACAAGGTCTTGCTAGGTAGTCCAGGCTGGCCTTGAACTCACTATGTGGCCCAGATAGCCCTCGAGCTCTCGGCCATCTTCCTGTCTCAGCCTCTTGAGTACTGGGATCACAGGTGTGCGCTACTATGCCTGGCTCCACTTCCTTTAGGTATGATGCCTCATGTGGTACATGAAATAATAGCCCTACCAAGATGTCTGTATCCTCAGAACCTGTGTCTATGTTGCCCTGCATGCCAAAGACGACTTTGCAGATGTGATTGTTAGGGATTTTTTTTTTTTTTTAGGTGTTAGGGATTAAACCCAGGGCCTTTGCACTGAGTTCCATCCCCAGACTTTTTAATTTTTTTTTTTAAGACAGGGTCTTGCTAAGTTATTAAGTTGCCCAGGCTGGGCTAGATCTTGTGATCTTCCAGAGTGCTGGGCTTACAGGTATGCGCACCACCATGCCTGGCTAAGTTAAGCTTCTTGAGATGGGGAGAGTATTCTGGTTTACCCAGGTAGGC